AGCTGTATGGACGGCTGCGCGACCCACTGCGGTTCGGCCAGGACCTGGGCCCGGACGCCCGTGTAGTACAGCGCGTCGGCGTCGGCGTGCTGCCTGTACCGGTGGCCGAGCGCGGGCTCGGGGCCGAGCGCGGCTTCCCGCTGCAGGCGCACGGGGACCTCGCTGTAATAGGCGATCAGTTTCCACAGCTTCTCGTAGTTCTCCCGGGTCATGGGGCACTCGAAGTCCAGGCCGACGGTGGCGTTCAGCTCGATGTCTTGAGATTCCGTGTGGTTCAGGCGAATCTGGGACAGCTGTGTGGGCTTCTGGATGCCACAGGCCAGGCTGACGGTGTTTCCGTGCTCGTCAGTCATGTTCAGGGACACCTGCCACGCGGGGACTTGGAAGTGCTCCAGAGGGGGCCAGGCACCGCCGTCGTCGTCCGGGCCCTGCTCGTCCTCGAGGCCACTGCTGCCGTTGTGTCTCAGAGGGGACGTGATGGAAGGCTTCACACAGGGGACGTCCTCCAGCGTGTGAATGTCGTGCTTCTGCAGCCTCCGGGGACTGGCGCACGCGGGGCAGAGCTGGCCGCCTTCGTAGGCTTTGTCCTTCTTACACTTCAGAAGCCCTGAAACAGAGAAGCAGACGCACGCGCTGCGGTCAGCGCACCGGGGGACGGGCGCCTCGCACGCGGCCACGGGACGTGCGTCAGCCCCGCTCGGGCGCCTGTGCCTACGGATGTGACGCCTCGCCTCTGCGACTTCACGTCTGGCCGCAGATCGGTTTAGCGCACTGCGAGCTTTTTAACTGCCGGACAGCGAGGCATGAGTGCTTCTCTGGAACATTCTCTAAGCTAAAGATGCTCTTCACGCCCATTAGAGGAGTCACCTTTTATGAGGGACGAGAGAATCTCATATAAAGCAATCGCGACCCGTGGAAATCTCTCCCGGCTAAAGGACCAACTTGTGGCATGGATCACGCGTAGGTACTATATATATATCTCTCTTTCTACGCGTTACTGTTTCCGGCAGCGTCTGCTTTTCTTGCAGTCGTACCCTGGACATCGACGGCTCAGGCATTTCGTCCTACTCGTCTGTCCGTGGCTCCGTCCCGCCTGTTCTCCCCTCCCCGGCTCAGCTCTTCGGGGACACGTGCCCCTGAGCTCGGGCACGTCTCCTTTGTGATCTGTCCCCTGGGAGGAGACCTCACCCGCGTGTCGGATTCCGATGACCGTGCATCGGCCCACGATCATTCCCACAGGTGCGCGAGCCGCCTCGAAGCACGCCTAGCAGCTCCACACCGACTTCCCTGTCTGACGTGCCTGTTTCGAAGTGACAAAGGCTCCTTGAACCGGCGTCTACACAATCAATTCAGGATTCCTCCCTGCTCCGACCTAGACCTCTCGTGGCTTTGCGTTTAGAATCCGTCAGTTTCTCCCCATGGGGAACCTACGACACTATTGTTTTGGTTTTCTTCACACTTGTTTGCTTCTTTCCACGCCCACTGGGTACGCACCGTTCGAGCCCCGTCCTCTGCGGCTTGCTCTACTGCAAACCTCTTCACCGTATTTACTTTCCCTCCCTGAACAGTTTCCGGGGGGGCTGTCAGAGCCGACACCTCGAAAGTGCACACGTGAGGTGGACAACACTCGTGTGCCCACGGAGAGACCTGTACACGGACACGGACGTGCACGCGGACACACGCACCCACACTCACGACGTCCTGAGCGGTCGACATGGCTCTGTGCTGCTGGGAATTCAGTCAGCAAATGGCTTTCCACCTCACCCAGCCCACACCCCGCGTGTGGGGGCTACTTCCCGTCCATGAGGTGTGAACCGACGTGACATGCGTCTTTTGTCCTTAAAACTCGCAGGAAGCAGGTACGCCTCCGCCTTTCCCCTCCCACTGCCTGGCGACGTCAAGCAGATGCCAGATTTCAGGGGGAGCCACAGATGAGGGCACCTCCGTCCCTCTCAATCTGTGCAAGGAGCGGCCTGGCACCCGAAAGCACTCACTTCACACGGTGGTGTGAGGTGGCCACGCTGGGCGTCCCTCGTGGGCACGGGCTGCGGGGCTTGTAGAAATGGAGGGCGGCAAGACCCTTGAGAGGAGGGGACCTTTTAGCCAAGATGTGGGTGCCGGGAAGCAGCCACCTGGTAGGAAGGGGTTCCCGGAAGGAGGCGGAGCGAGTCCAGTGGCATCGAGTTTGAACTCAGTTCGCAAGGAGCCATTGAGCGGGGGGCATGAGGGAGCGGGGAGCCCGGGGTGCTACAGCTCGGAGCAGGAGCGACGGGCGGGACTGGGCTCTTTCTCCTCGACCCGATGGCGAAGGGCTGGAGAGCTGGCGTGGGGGCGTGGGCATGGCCGGGCGCCTACTCGGGACATCTGCCCTGACGAGTGCTCGGTGCAGGGTGCAGGGAAGGGGTGACCGAGGAACATGGGTGACCAGGGCTGCAGAGACACCTGCGGAGGATGCTCCAGCGTCCCCTCAGACAGAGGAGGAGGAGCCTGCGGAGACGCCCATGGGCGAAGACGCCCAGGACATGGGAGCGCGGTGCGATCTGAGCGTGCGTTTGCAGGGCAGCCTTGCAGAAGCAGGCAGAGAAAGAGAAGAATTTTAAAACCTTCCTGACTTTGAATCACAATCTACTTTCTCAAAACTTCTACACATCGATCCTGTTTTTTTTTAAAAATTTTTGTTCCCTGGATCAATCCAAAAAATCTCTCTCCCCCTCTACCCACAGAAGAATGGTCTCATGGCCACCCTCAACCTTCTCTCTCTCCAGATTCCTTGTCCACTTTGTCACAGGACACGGATGCACAGACAATCCCATGTCCAGCTGTAGCCCAAGGTGCATGTCACCCCCTAGATCCCCATTCTGCGACAGCGAACATCACTGCATCCAAGTGATTCAATGACAGCGGCTTTACAGGTCACCGAAGGACGCAGCTGCGTTGGCCTTACGGATCAGGCGCGTGTGCTCACTTAACTTGTGGCGGTCGACAAGTGAGTCCTCCCCCTTGCTGACTTGGGGATGCAACGTGCATCGCCCTGTGCAAGACACAGCCACGTCGGAAGACCGGAGAAGGTGAGCTGCGTGGACAGGGGAGCAGTGTGGGGCGCAGACACACGGCGACCCTCCTCCCTGCTTACCTTTCGATTTCCCGTGCCATTCGAGGAACCAGCGCATGTCACAGTCACAGGACCAGGGGTTGCCGTGCAGGTAAAGGTTCTCCAGCAGCGGCATATTTTGAAGCATGCCGGCGGGCAGGCTCCGCAGCCTGTTGTCGGCGAGGTACAGGTGCCGGATGTTGGAGAGCCGGAAGTAGTCCAGAAACGAGAAGGTGGAAAAGGTCCCGGAGTGCAGCTGGTGCAGCACGTTCCCCTCCAGATGCAGCAGCCTCAGCGCCGTGAGGCCTTGGAACGCGTGCGGGTGGATGAACTCGATCTCGTTGTGGTCCACGTGCAGCCTCAGTAAGCTCCGCAGCCCCTGCAGGGTCTGTGCGGTGATGACCCGCAGCTTATTGTAGCTGAACTTGAAAACCTGCGGAGACAGGATGGGGAGGGGGTGGGCGTGGAGGGGGCCGTGGGAAATCCCGTTGGTAACTGACAGAGCCGCCCCCTCCCCTGGCGCGGGGGAGCAGAGCACACGGCGGGAAAGCAGAGGCACGAAGCCAGCTTCTCGTGTGCCGAGTCCCGCAGCCACGTCCCGCCGCATCGCGGAGCGTTTCGGAATCGCCAGGCGGGGCTGAGGCCGCAGCGCAGGATGCTGCCGACGGCCCGGCCTTACCTGGAGAGAGCCGAGGTCCCTCAGAGCCCCGTCGGGCACGCTGGGGATGTTGTTGCCGTGAAGCATGAGCAGCTCTAACTTGCTCAGCCCCGCGAAGGACGTCTCCGACAACGCCTGTATGCTGTTGAACCTGGACAAACGGAAGAAACGATAAGCGACGGGAACGAGAAGCCGGGCCCGTCAGGATCCTCTGGCCCAGAGGCAACGTAGCGACACACAACCCAAAACACGAAAAACAGAAACGCCGGTTCTTTAAGAAAGCCCGGAGCATCCAGACTCCTCGAGGAAGCAGGCGGCCATGAGCCCTCGTTGGAGAAGAAGGAATCGAGATCAATGACACGTGGCCCCTGAGGATGCAAGGAAATGGGCCACGTGGGAAGTAGCCGTGCATATGACATAAAAGCAGAAGGCCGTGAGTGGAAGGACCACGTGACAAAGTCCACAGCCACGCAGGGACATTTCACAAGGACAAGCCGATTTCACAAGGACAAGCCGCCACTTCCGGTGGGTGATCGACCCTGCGTGTAAACATTCTGGGGTATCTGGGGTTCCGATTTTGCAGGAACGGGGGTACAGATGCTTCCTGGACTGGAAGGTCCCCATTGCTACACTGTCCTGGTGCAAAAATATCTCCCCAAGTTCGTCCCCGCAGATGCGAGTCTGTCACGAATGCAGAACCCTTTGTGCTCCGTGTTGGGAGGTGGTTACCTTGCATCTGGGCTTCTGCCGACCTGACAGTGTCACCTGCTTCTCCTTATCACCCGAGTAAAGGGACGTAGACGTGAGCAGAATGAAGGCGAAGCCCTCGGAGCTTAATACGGCAGCGGCCAGCCAGGGGTGCTTCTCCCATGAAGTCATCGGAGACGAAACCCAGCCCCCAATTTCCAAGTCAGAACCTGGCTAACTCGCTCCCTCTCAGAGCCTTTGGGAGCACCTTGCAGCTCTAAACTCTTTTGCTCCAAAAAAATTTTTCAGATGATTTTTAAAATTTTATTTTGCAATGACAGTTGACATACGAGACACCACGGTCTCTGCACTGCGTCCTTTGTGTGTCGTTGTTTACGGTCCTGTGGTGACACCTGTGTGGGATGGTGAACACAGCAAACGAGATGGACATAACGTGGGCGTCCATCAGTGGACCAGTGGATCGAAAAGATGTGGAATATTACTCAGCCATGAAGAGAGGTGAAATCTTACCCTTCGCAACAACGTGGAGGGTGTCACACTAAGTGAGAGAAGCCAGACAGAGAAAGACAAATAGCGCACAATGTCGCGTACGTGTGGAATCCAAACAGCGACAATACGTAAACAAGCACCAAGAGCACAGGACTCATCGGTCCAGAGAGCAACCTCAAGGTCGATGGGCGGGGCCTGGAGCGGAAGAGGTGAAGGGCTGAGAAGTACAAATCGGTAGCCACGGGACAGTAGCCGGGACGTGAGGTACAGGACAGGGAGGACAGCCAACGCCCCCGCAATAAGCACGTGTGATGCCAGCGGGGGCCGGACTCACCGGGGCTCATTTCATACGTTCCGTAAGTGTCTGACCACTGCGCTGAACACCTGACTCTAACAGAAAATACTGCTGAATGAAGAAATAATAAGGAAGAAAATCATAAAATAAATAAGCGAAAGTTTAAAAAAAAACACACATAACCGTCTCTTTCCCATTTTTAGAGCCCGAGGTTGGTCCGGAAACAGTAGGAGGAACATGAGATCAGGTGAGGCGGCTGTGGGGGGCCGGGGGCCAGGTGGCGTAGCAGCTGAGGGGGTGGTGTGTTTCGTCTGTGCCAAGTTCACCGTGAAGACACTGGAGGGTTCGAAGACAGACAAAGACCCGGATGAAGCTACAGGTTAAGACAGCACGTCCGGCCACTGCGTGGAGAACGGGCCGGAGGTGGACGAGGAAGCGAGCGGCAGACTAGGGGAATCGCGGGGTCCAGCACCGAGGTCGGGGGAGCGTTGCAATGACAGGCGACGACAGACTTGGAGGAAGAGGGTTCCGGCTGGACGTGAGCGTCAGGTGGACTGCGTCATTTGCCACGCTGGACGAGACGGGGGCTGGTTCGAAGTCGTGTTGGCCGTGTCAAGGGGAACACATTTGTGAGGCTCCGAGGATGGAGATGGACCTCGACGCGTGCGTGGTCAGGAGACGTCACCCTCGTGCCTCGTGCAGTAAGGCCCTGGGTGTGGGCACCGCGTGGCAAGACCCCAGAGGCAGCAAAGAGTCTAGAGGCCAGAGGGACAGGCGGGTCTTCAGACGCAGCAGGTAGCGGTCAAAGGCTCAGTCTCAAACGTCACAAAGACTTCGAGGCCCCTCGGCGCGTTTTAGTACAAACGTGTGCAGCGCTCGTCCGTGTTCCCTGCCCTGGTCGTGAAACATTCTCACTTCTGAGGTGACACATCCAGTGATAACGGTGGAGGCCGAAGGCCACAAGGCAAAGGAACACGCTCGGGTACAAACGGACACGGAGGTTTGAGCTCCATCCGTAGCTGCCTGCATCGCCCCGAAGTCCAGGATGGGGGCCATATCAGCTTGGGAACCTGTCTCACTCTGTCACGTTCTCCGTGGTTGCTTTATGAGGCATCAGAGACTTCCAAACGTGGCCGTCTTCGGCGCCAGAGAATTTTCTCAGATAGACAAAAGTCAACGGAGTCGCCGGAACGTCACCCAGTGGGGGTGGATGAATGCTCCTTGAGTCCGTCTAAAAACCAGCAGAGAGCTGAGGACGTGAACGTGGCATTCACAGGAGAGAAGCTGGGGGGACGGTGAAACGCCGCTGGGGTGAGCCTAGGTCCTCTCTAGAGCGTCCTGCTGGTGGGCGATCACCGACTACCTAACCAGCTAACGGAAATGTTTTCTCTTCTCTCAGAAATGTGTGCGGGACTGCTTCAAAAATACCGGTTAGCATCACAAAGCAAAATTCACACACACACACGCACACACGCACACACACAGGAATAAGAGCAGTATGGGCATCTCGAAAATCCCAGAAAGATAGCCTCAGAATCGGTGTTTTCGAAAAGGGGAAAACTAGTTAAAGGTCTCGAAATCAGACACTAAGCGGATGGCTTTATTTTGGTTGCTCAAAACGGTTTGGGCAGGAACGTTTTGGAAAGGCTCTGGGGCCATCCGAACAGGAAACAGGACATCTCGCTCTCGCTGCTGACTGGGAACCCTGAGCACATCTGCGAGGAAATGACATACTGCACGAGCGCCCTGCCAGTAATCTCTCATTCCTCGAGGCCTTTCCACCCTTCGCAGGCGGCTCGAGGACACACGAGACCGCGAGTGCTCTCCACATCGGACGGCACGCTCATTGCTTCTCCTTCCCCAGCCTCATGATCTGCTTTGAGACGGGTTTCCAGAAAACGGGGCTGTGACATAATTAAAAGCGTGACTTAGAAATGTGGCATTTTAATTCATGCTGCAAATTAAGCCAGACGGAATCAATATGTTCTGGCGATATGCCATGAAGCTAGCTACTCCTTAGTCATTTTTTAAATTTCTGTCTTGAATATTACCCAAAGCAGCTCGAGATATTATCGGCATCGGCAGGAAAAGGAAGCTTTCAATATCTTTTGTTTGTTCTAGTGGCAAAGCTTTGTCGGATTGTAAAAAGGAAGCTGGTTATCTGTTAATTTTCCCCTCTGGCAAACCCAAACTGTTTGCCCCCCAAGGAATTATCATCATTGTGGCTGGATTTTCAGACAGTGGAATCATAAATGTTCCCTAAGATTTTACCGGGAAAATGATTTAACGGTCTGAGGCTTTGGATTACCAAAGTTTCTGTCTTATAGTCCTAACTTTCTATTCTCTTATTCTATTTCTGGAGTTTATAGTCAAAACAGCAAGAATATTTTAAAACTCTAAGGTGTAAAGTCTTGGGTCACTGAGTTGAGTTTGACCATTTTATTTTACTAATACATCTCTACAATGGATATTCATCAAACCCTAAATTATTTTTCTTCTTTTCTAGATGGTGGAAGATAGCTAATATACTTTTTGAAGAAGTCCAAATGATTTCTTACGATTAAAATTGTACACGATTGCCTGTAACTCAAAGCGACTAACATTTATGCCTATGAAAAATTCAGGGGTATAAAATGAATTTTTAGAATCTAAAAACTCTGCCCGGAATACTGCACTAAAATATCTGTTAAAACACGTTGATATTCTTAAAGAGGCAAAATCTTTAAGAACTCTTGGATTTCCTCAAAGACGCAGTGGCTCCATCCACATCACTTACAAAATGTCTGAGGTGCCCCATTTATTAATTTTATTATTCTTTAGCAGTTTCTGAAGTCTATGCAAATAATGTGGTGTCATATATTGACGTGTGCGTCACGTGCCTCTGTAGCGATGACGTATTAGAGAATTATCATCCAAGGACATTTCTCGACCATCGAAGTAGTCAGGCCGCCTCGTCATTAAACTTTATGACAGCGGTTACGGCTGATGGACACGCTCAGATAATCGCCCGAAGGGACGACTCTGCCCGCGAGGAAGCACACAATGCTGGACAAAGCGACACATAAAGGAATCGACATTGGCAGCTACGTGGGTGCACGAGGAGGGTACATGCGAAACCAAATAAACACGCAGGCAAAGGAGTCGAAAACGTCCAAGAAGAATGTGGTACAAACCCCAAATTGATTCTTTCCACATGTTTAGAAATCCCAGCCGGCACGGAAGCCAGGGAGCGGAACGTGCAGTGGACCTCGCTGGGAACGTAGCAGGCGCAAGGGTGGGGACAGGCGCGCGCCGCCGGGGGAGGCGCCGACAGCAGAATCAGCACCACGGACAGGGCTCGGCAGGGCGCCCGCGCGGGCATCTTGCGGGGCTGCGTGGTCCCTGGACACCTGCGTGGGCGGGACCACAAAAGGAGACGCGTTTACTGTCACGTAGCACTTGCTCGTGCGCGGCGACTCTCAGCCGAATTGTGCCTAAGCGGCTTTAAGCGTCCCGGGACTTCGAATAGATAATAGATGTTAGCGACGCTTGAAATACTGTAAGTCAAAAAGACACGAACCTTATATGTGTCATATTCCGCCCGTTACGGTTCGTCATGACTATAGAACGTAGCCTTGATTCCTGACTGTCATTCTACGATATGGAAATCTCGCTATGTGTGAGTGAGAGAAAGAGATGGACGGAGAGAGAGGAGATGGAGAGAGAGACAGAGACAGTGCTATGTGTGAGTGAGAGAAAGAGATGGACGGAGAGACAGGAGATGGAGAAAGAGACAGAGGCAGTGAGAGACAGAGACAGAGACAGACAGAGACAGAGACAGACAGACAGAGACAGAGAGACAGAGACAGACAGACAGAGACACGGAGAGACAGACAGGGACAGACACAGAGACACAGAAGGAGAGAGAGAGGAGGTAACCTTATGTTTCCATAATAATAAAGTTAATAATAAAATGTAATTCTTATATGTCTGCCTGTGGTGTTCACTCACAGCCAATATATATTGCATATATAGAGACAGACAGACAGAGACAGAGAGACAGAGACACGGAGAGACACAGAGACACAGAAGGAGAGAGAGAGGAGGTAACCTTATGTTTCCATAATAATAAAGTTAATAATAAAATGTAATTCTTATATGTCTGCCTGTGGTGTTCACTCACAGCCAATATATATTGCATATATTTACATGGAAAACTTCCCAGAAGGTCATTATTTTCAGGAGTATTTCCTTCACTTAACGACATGCCTTAAAGGTTAAATTTTCTCTTCTTAAAGTGCTCAAAGAGGCATTCGCTAAAGCAAAATTTGTTCCATTGTTTATGAGTTTATCGATCCTTTTTTTTTCTTCTTCTTCTTTTCTGGGCAGAAGCAACGAGTTGTGACAGTGTAGTGTTCTTGTTTTTAGAAAGAGAATTTGGGGAAGCCTCTAAAACCTGCCGTCATATAAAGACGAAAACTGTCTGAGGAAATATGTTCAGACAAGCACACAGAGAAAAATGATGGGTGAGGTCAGAAGACAGAACATGAAATCAAGGAAGGAAGAGAGAGAAGGAGGGTAGGAGGGAGGGAGGAAGAAAGAAAGAAAATAAGAAAGAAAGAAGGAAAAAAAGAAGGAAGGAAGGAAGGAAGGAAAGAGAGAGAGAGAGAGAGAGAGAGAGAGAGAGAGAGAGAGAGAGAGAGAGAGAGAGAGAGAGAGAGAGAGAGAGAGAGAGAGAGAGAGAGAGAGAGAGAGAGAGAGAGAGAGAGAGAGAGAGAGAGAGAGAGAGAGAGAGAGAGAGAGAGAGAGAGAGAGAGAGAGAGAGAGAGAGAGAAAGAAAGAAAGAAAGAAAGAAAGTGAAAGAAAGAAAGATAGAAAGAAAGAAAGACAGACCGACCTCAGGTCAATGCGGATTGCATCAGCTGCCCGCTTTGGCATAGTAGTGATTATATTTTCATGCCCTGGCCATGAATTCATCATCTGATGCTTTCGTCATCGTTCGAATGAAACTTACTTAAAAAAAAAATATACAGTCGACCCATTTAAAGCCAAAGCTACGACTGAGCAACGCGCGCGTCCATCCGTCTGCGCGGCCGGTGCCCTCTGCGCCCGCGCGTGCAGGGCGGGCACGTCCCCAACCCGTCGCTCTGTCCTTCTTTACTCAGACCTATTCCCGGAGCCCGTGCGCGTCTCGTCTTTCAGCCGCTGAAAGGAACTGACGGCGCAGGCAGCTTTGCAAAAAGCAAGTTCAGGCTCCACGTCTGCGCGCTG